AACCTAGCGTACTTGGATGTGGTCTATTTAATGCTGTAAATACCTCGAAATATACTTTGATTGATCAATTCATAAAAATTTTTCTTCTGATTGATCAACGAAGCATTTGCAGCATTAAATGGATCACATCCAAGTACGCTGGGTTTATTCAGAGCGACTCCGAGCAGCTCCCGAGAGACAAAACGAACAATACTAATGTCAACATGCATGTATAATTTGTTTTCTATTATATATATATATATATATATATATATCTCACTTACTTTTTACACAGGCTGTGATCTTTTATCAATATGTATTAAAAAATTAGTTATTTTATTTATTTATAATGATTATATACTGTTTACGATATATTTATAGTATCACATCAGTTGACTACACCTATATCTACGACGCCATGTTTTAGCAAACTAGAAAGATTGGCCAGACTCAGCCAGACTCCTTATTATAGGGACTCTAGTCTGGCCTAGAGTCCCTATACTAAGGCTGCTTTCCATCAAGGCTTTTAGGCGACACACATCGACACAGTGTCGAACGCGGTGCTTTCCAACAACGACACGCTACGGCACGATTCGACACAGCAGCTTAGGGCTGTTTTCCAGCTAGGACACAGAAACGTTACACTGTGCTCCACTGTGTAAAGACTTGTTGGAACGATAGAGCTCTAATTGGTAACACTGGCATACTCTACACGTTCGTACTTAACTTTTTACAGTGTCGAGCAGTGTAACACTGGGTGTTTTCCAACAACGTACACAGATGACACAGTGTAACACTGTGTCTTACACAAAGTGTTCCAACTGTGACACAGTTTTACACTGCTCGACACTGTAAAAAGTTAAATACGAACGTGTAGAGTATGCCAGTGTTACCAATTAGAGCTCTATCGTTCCAACAAGTCTTTACACAATGGAGCACAGTGTAACGTTTCTGTGTCCTAGCTGGAAAACAGCCACTGGCTGTCTTCCCATAGTCCCTTTTCTAGTCAGTAAAATAATATTACTAGGATGACGTCATCCTACTGACTGGAGAAGTGTTCCCATTCTTGCCAGTAAAAAGTGACGTCAGGATTTGTTGCGTTTCTATGCCCTACGCTTTCTACAATTTTCATTTCATATTACAGTTTCATTTCATATTTTCGTCATCAGTGATCTTCATTGAATAGATAAGTAAATAATATATATTTCATGTAGCAATGTTTACTTGCAACTCTGTAATATTTGGAACGAAATCGTTGTCTAACCTCTTTAGTCGCCGGTGTCAATTATTTTAAGACATGGGTACCGAAATATTACAGAGTTGCAAGTAAACATTGCTACATGGAATATACTCGTATATTGTTTACTTACCTATTCAATGAAGATCACTGATGACGAAAATATGAAATCAAACTGTAATATGAAACGAAAACTGTAGAAAGCATAGGGCATAGAAACGTAACAAATCCTGACGTCACTTTTTACTGGCGAGAATGGGAACACTTCTCCAGTCAGTAAGATGACGTCACCCTAGTAATATTATTTTACTAACTGGCAAAGGGACTATGGGAAGACAGCCACTGTGTCACAGTTGGAACACTTTGTGTAAGACACAGTAGAGACCTTCTAACAGAGACTGGCCATCAGGCGAGTCCGGCATTTCCTAGCGAAATCCTACAAGTGAGAGAGAAATATAGGCTATTTCACTCTTTCACTCACACGAATATGTGCGTTCGTATGTGATCGTTTAATCAAGTTGATTTGAGTTGATTCAAGGTTGTGTTCGTGGTTTTTGCTCAGTACAAAATAATAACAATAAAAATGAGAGATTGCACTGCACAATTCTGGAAAAATTATTTAATATCTATCTTTAGTCAGGTTACGGCTAAATATGTTTTAAATTATCAATTGTTTCCTAAAATTATTAGAAAGTTTGTCGTATTCAAATTAAGAACATTAAGTAAGAAAAATACTAATATTAATAGAAGATATGACAGTAAATCATTGGCAGTACACACCTTTTTTAAATAAATTTTACAAATGTTAAGTGTTTGTACTTTTGTCACTGATTTCCTAACCTTACTTTAATTTTATTTGAAAAAGATTTAATAGAATTAAGAAAGAGA